CGGGACCAGGGATTGAACTCAGAGGCAGTCAACCATTGAGTCATATTTTTAGCCCTATTTTGTATTTTATTTAGAGACAGGGTCTCATTGAGTTGCTTAGCACCTCACTTTTTCTGAGGTTGGCTTTGGACTCCTGATCCTCCTATTTCAGCCTCCCGAGCCACTGGGATTACAGGCATGTGCCAGTGCACCTGTCTTTAGGGTCCTTCTTTAAGCTACTTCAAAGTAGAAGAGAAAGCAAAGAGTAGTAGGTGATTTGTAGAAAATAAACAAGCAAAAGGAGCTAATTGGGAAACATGGCAAGAGAAAAGGATTAATGGAACTAACTCTTATGGGGTCCATTGATGTTGACATAAAACTCAGAATTATGGCTTTAAGTGTCTCCAATTGTCTGGGAAGGAAGATTCCTTTAGTGGGTGCACTAAGGTAACTTCTGACAAGCTAATGACCCCAATGCTCACATTAACATGGGATTGACTTATAGATGAAACCTTCCCTAAAGAGGATGGCCACTATGGCAGTTTTGGAGAGGACCAACTAAGGTCAGTAACTCCACTGCCCAATGTGAAGGAAGAGTTGAACACTTGATTGACAAAGAGCACAGAACATGGTCCCCAGTTCTCCTGGTAAATAAAAAACAATAATAAAATTGGGGACAGCATTGTCTCCTTTGTTGTTCTCTGCTTGGAGACAGCCCACTCTCTCCCTTGAGAGTGCTTTTTGCTAAGCCTCACTTTTCTTTTACTTTATTTTCACCTCACTTTGACTTCTAATAAAGTTCTCTTGCATGACTTTTAAATCTTCTTTCATCTGAACACAGCAGCTGACGTTTGGAGTTTCAACTCCCTGCTTTCCTTTGACACCACTGGCCATGAAGCATGAAGGCAAAAATGATGAAGTCTATGTGCACCTCTATGTGATGAGTCTGTACATGCAGGAAGAGAAAAGGGATGACTCATACCTTTTCAGTAAGTCACTGGCAGTCTAAAAGAGAGAAAGAGAGTGAGAATCACAATCAGATCTCAGGTTCCTGACACCTCCAAATTCCCTTCCAAACTTGCTCTTGAAGGTCACTCTGGGGGCCACCTTGGAAGCTGCAGGGGATTGTACCCTCCTTCTACACCTTACCAGGCTGAAGCAGCAGGGTGTGACCTTGGACAAACACCACCACTACTTGCCCCTATGTACAATGTGAATACTTCCTTTACATCTCCTGGAGGGGTGCTGTAGGTGGGCTGCATACTATTCAGAGAGAATCCCAGTGTTGGGGAGGTGCCTCAGGTACACACCGTCAGTGTATTGGCATCCAACTCCTTGGCTGTACTCTCCAGATCAGCAACCAGAAGGCTGATCTGTGCTATTGCCTTGGAGAGCTCAAGGATTCTGGCCTCCTCTGCTGATGTGTCCTCCAGCTGGCCCACCTGCTGTTGAGAGATAATATCCAGTTGTCCCTTGTTTTGGTGCTGACTCACCAGCTCAGCCTCCAACTTGTGGTTTCCACAGTCTTCCTGAAACTCCAGAAAACAGACTCCCTAAAACTCAATATCAGATGGCTCCCTCCTGGCCCTCCACAGTTGAATACCTGAGTAAGAATGCTGATTCCTCAGTCCTCTTCCCCTGGTGGGACAGCCTCCCTGTTGGGAGGGCTCTTGGGACAGAGCCCTTGGTGGGTGTAGTAATTTTCACTTGATGTCTCTTTTGAATGTCACCAGAGAGAGTAAGGTTGATTTTCAGTTAATGTAAGTCACATGAATGTCAGAGGGCTTATCATGCCCCAGGTCACTCCTCTAGCCAACCCTGAAGCCCAACCCAACACCCAGGTATTTAGCATCAGCAACTTTCCATCCTCTTCAGGCTGCTCAGGGGACAGACATCCAAAACAGGAAGAGAGGTGCCTGAGGACTCTCCAACACAATCCCTCCCTCCTAGGATTTGGAGAAACCCACCTGCAGAGCCTGCAGCTTCTCCTCCTCCTGAGCCTTGAGCTGCTGAAGTTTTCCAATGTCCTTTCTGAGCTTCCTGAACTTGTGGGTGAGTCGTTTCTAAAGACAGGGGCACAACTGCTCATCAGACAAGTGGTAAGGGCGCACCCACTGGGGGAACCCCACACAGCAGGTAGGGTCCTGCCCAGCACGAGGCTAATGTAACGTTCTGCCTAAAAATAGTAGTTACCTTTGAAACAAGGAACTTGAGAGTTTATTTAATAGAAAATCATAGGATAAAAGTAATGAGTAATTTTTTTTAGTTTAGATCCACACAAAATAACAGATAGTGATAGAACTATTTTCACTTGAGTTTAGGGTGCTCTCCTCTCCAAATATAAAAGTCATATGACAATTTTATATATGTATATAGTATATGTATACATATACATGTATATATACATATATATTCACTTTAAATTGATACATAAAATTGTACATATTTATGGGGTGCCATGCAATGTTTCAGTAAATATTGTGTAATGTTCAAGTCTGGGTATACTATATACTCAAAGATTTATTTTTTGGTGATAATAACACTTAAAACCCCTTTGTTCTAGCTTTTTTTTGAACCCACAGGCACTTAACCACTGAGCCATATCCCCTATCCTTTTTATATTTTATTTTGAGACAGGGTCTTTATAAGTTACTGAAGCTGGTATTCAACTTCAATCCTTCTGCTCAGCCTCCCAAGTTGCTGGGATTACAGGCATATGTCACTCCACTTGACTACTTCTAGCTTTTTTGGGAAACATACTGTACACTATCATCATCTACAGTCACCCTACAGTATAACAGAATTCCAGAACTTCTTTCTCCTATCTAACTATAACTTAGTACTCATGACACTCTTTTCCTCATAGTTAGTCTTCTGGTGCTTCTTACCATTTTACAGTAACAAGTGAAACCAGTCTGGAGAGAATTGCCTTAAAGAGAAAAAGAAAAGTTTCTTATTCCTACCACATCCTGTCCCCAGGATGGATAGCAAAGCCACTTATTAAGTACAAACCCATATCCTAGACAGGCATGTACTCCCTCTTTCAATCTTAAATCAGAATCTAGATGGGTCACTGTATCCCTGAAACTATGGATATAATGAATGATTTGAGTTTTCTTTCTTTTTTTTAATTTTTCAGTATTGGGGATTGAACCCAGGGGTATAAGACTGCTGAGCTACATTCCCAGACCTTTTTATTTTTTATTTTGAGACAGTGTCTCTCTAAATTGCCCAGGTAGAACTCAAACTTGAGATCCTCCTGCCTCAACCTCCTGAGTTGCCAGGACTGCAGGCGTGTATCACCACACCCAGATATGATTTAAGTCTCTACAAAAAAAAAAAAAAAATGCTTTTAGCCAGGAAGTAGTGGTGCACTCCTATAATCCCAGTAGCACAGAAGGCTGAGGCAGGAGGAGCACTAGTTCAAAGTCAGCCTCAGCAAAAGCAAGGTGCTAAGCAACTCAGTGAGACCCTGTCTCTAAATACAAAATTGGGCTGGTGATATGACTCAGTGACCAAGTGTCTCTGAGTTTAATCCCCAGTATCCCCTTCCCAAATTGCTTGTAGGTTTTTTATAATCCACCAGAAAAGCAAAAGTAAACAAAACCGGTATAGATATCAATAGAGGTGAGTATTGAACTGGAGGAACGGGGGATTGTCAACTGAAGACTCTGAAAACATTCTTCTCATAATCCCTTGTTCAATTAGTACAGAATGCATTTGCCCTACCAAATTTAAAAAAGAAAAATTATTTGCAACTATAGTAATAAAAACAGTACTGGTGCAAAAAGAAATTTAAAAAAATGAAAGAGAAGAGAGAGCTCAGGGACAGATCATATTCATACAGGAATTTTAAAAAGAAAGAACAGTGCATATATTTGCAGGAGGAGGAACAGAAGCTATAGAAGATGGTCCTGGGAAAACTGGCTTGTGATAACAAAGAAATAAAACCAAGTCCCTATCTAAAAAACTGCAGTATGAAAGGTAAAAGTGTAAAGTTAATAAAAAATAATATTCACATATAAAGTTGTGAACTGAGGGGTAGGGAAATAATGCCATATACAAACACCCCAAAGCACAAACGATGGGGAAAATGTTTAATTTGATCACATCAAGATTAAACATTTCTGTTTAATAACAACACATGTATACAAAATTAATAGAGAAATGACAGATTAGATTGAGGTTTGGTGGCACACACCTGTAATCCCAGCTACTCAGGAGGCTGAAACAGGAGGATTGTAAATTCAAGGCCAGCTCCAGCAATTTAGCAAGACCTGTCTCAAAAAGGCTAGGACTATATAATTCAGTTATAAAGCACCCCTGGATCCAATCCCTAATACTGAGAAAATGAAATAAATTACAATATGATAAAAATAATTCAATACAATATAATACAATACAAAATGTCCTAGCAATATTTACAAGTGCTCACATGGGGCCCATCATAATTGTTAACCTAGACTGGCCTACTATCTCTTTCTGCCTGCTTCAAGACTAAAAGACATCTACCAGCCTCCATGACTGGAAACACCAAATAACGTGAAGAGTGAAATGAAGTGGCACTGAGAACCTGGAAGATCTTCACCTATTCCCAGAAAATACATGAATACTCCTCCTCTGTATTAGCCTATCCCTCTCCCTCATTATTCCTATCCTATATCTGTAACCCCTCAGCCTTCTGGAGTTGAGTAGCTGATTCATGAGCTAAGCTCCTTCTTCACTATTCTTTGGCCACTGAACAAAGCCTTCCCCTCTCCCCAACACTGTCTCTCAGACATGGGTTTTTCTATGGGATGAGTCTTGAACCTGGGTTCCTTAACCCAGGGACAGTGGGCAGGTAAGAAGTCAGCTAGAGCATTCTGGCAAATCTGTCACTGGGTACTTCCTGCAGGCATTTCCCAGCAGAGGCAAAATTTTAAAACTTAAGGCAATAACTGAGTGTCACTGTCACTCACTGGCCTTGCAGGTGAAGGTGACAGGCTGAGAAGGACTGTGGAATTGCTTGTGTGAGCACAAATGTTCAGGTCTTAAAAGTCACAAACAGCCTTTGCCCTTCAACCTGCTCACTTCTGCCCTCACAGTCAGATGTCTATGAGCAGTCAGTCTGTCCTCACCATTGTCCATCCTGATGGCCCTACATTTCGTGCCATCTGCCTTGGTTTTTCATCCTTCTCTTGAAGCTCCTCTCTCCAGGGTGACCTGTGATCTCCGTGATGAAGTGAGAAGACTTCTCGGCTCTCTTTTTTTGTGGATGGCATTTCCCTCTCTTGTCCCACCCTGTCCTTCCCAGCCTTGTGCCTTCTGTTTCTGCATTTCAAAATCCTATAAAAAGAACCCTGATGGGGGTTGGTTCCTTAACCCTTCCCATCTTAGATTATGTCCTTAACTTCAGATTATGATGAGTCATAATTCTGAAACCAAATCTTTTTTTCTAACAGTTAATCTCATATTTCCAACTGAGCTAAATATTTCCTGTCCTGCTAGTAACTCAAAAAATCATTTGGAGAATTCAGACTAGTCACCCCTTCCCGGGCCTCTCCTACAACCCTTTCCCCTTGGCCTTCGTAATTCTGTCATTGTACCCACTTTTCTGTCTGCCCTTCTGTCACATTTTACTTACTTTTTAAAAAATATTTTTTAGTTATAGATAGATGCAATACCTTTATTTTTCATTTATTCACTTTTATGTGGTGCTGAGGATTGAACCCAGTGCCTCACATGTGCAAGGCAAGCACTCTACCACTGAGCCATAACCCATCCTACATTTCACTTTTTATCTGTGCTTCTCTTCCCTTCAAACTGCTCCTCTTTGACAAGATAAGCCCAAACTCCACCCAGCCTCTAAGGCTCTTCTCTTGGTGACACAACTCCAATTTACATTTCCAGTGCTCGCTCTCTCTCTCTCTCTCTCTCTCTCTCTCTCTCTCTCTCTCTCTCTCTCTCCTTCCTGCACACCCTCTGCACTGGCCAACAGGATTGCTTGGGGCTTTCTGAACACACCCATGAAGCCCCTCCTCATTATGGTTTATCTCTTATTTCCTCTTGCCAGAAATACTGTCTTCTGATGGTCAGAACCCATTTTCCAAGTTCAGTTTTAAAAGTCAGAGTCTTATCTTCTGGCAGTTTAAAATTTAATGAAGGGTTTAAAGTCAACTTACTGGCACTGTGTAAATGAGAAAAGAAAGCAGAGATAACCGCAATAAAGATAAATGCATGAAATGATGGAAGATTACAGGTTATATAGATGTATCATTTACAATATTCAAAATGGGCAAGGTGGAGTTTTCTGTTTCAAAAAGTATGTTTTCATCCATTTTTGCAGTAAAATAATATTCAATGAGAGTATGTCATATAAATTAGCCACTTGTTTGACTTTAAAAAGCAAATTTCTACAAACATTTACCACCCCTCGGCAGCCAGCACCCTGCCAGGGATAGTTTCCTGCTCAGAAGGTGATGAACTACCTGAGAAAAAGAAAGTCTGGAATAATTAGTAAAGAAATAAGAGCCAGAGCCAGAAAGTGGATTCAAAAACGGGGAGCTCTGGAGAGGTCCTCCAGTCCCAGTTGGAGCTAACACTGAATGACTAGAAAATGGCTCAGGTTCTTTATTTAAGAGAGAGTACATCAAAGGCAGGGATAAGGTTTCAGCCTATGGAATCTTGCTTCGTGATGGCTTGCAGTCAACAGGTTGACTGGCCTCTTGGCAAGCCACACCCATCTCTGAGAGGTTGTGTGGCTATGTGGTTCCAGCAGGGTCACTCATCTCTGGTGCCATGCAGAACCTGTGACAGAGCTGAATAGAAGTCACAAGTATCAGGCAATCTCAAACCAGTATCCGGGAGTTCCCAGATACCAGACTTTCTTATCCAATGGCTTCCGTGCCAATTGGGTTCATGCACATTTCACTGGTGGCTTCTAGCAATTTACCTACCAAAAATACTCTTTAGTATTACCTTCTGGCAGTTTAAAATTTAATAAAGGACTTAAGGTCAACTTACTGGTACTGTCTAATGAGAAAAGAAAGCAGAGATAACAGCAAGAAAGATAAATGAACGAAAT